CTGCAGACAGTTCACTTGCCTAACTGTCTTCATTAACAGCAGAGTGTTATCAATGGAGATGTCTGAGTTCGTGTACTGACAGGCCACTGAGTCTTTCCCATTGAGCAGGGCTCCATGTACTGATATTTCTGAGCCACCTTTGTCTCCTTGGCATTCAGGGGCCATGTCAGGACATGGGACTCATTGGACCATTGTTCAAATGCTCTAGGGGTTCAGGTGGACATCATACCTTCATCAGTACAGAAGCAGGCTTGTCCCCCAGGGACATTCCTCTGCCCTCTCTACTGAGGCCCCTCTGAGCAGGGAGAGGAGAACCAAAGATAGATATGAGGTAAACTCAGGATCAGGAAAGCCGATAGTGTTTGATTATTTTGAACCTCAGTTAAGTTTTGTGAAACCAAACCTAATTTTAGTCTCTGTCTTTGTAATCCGTGAGTTGTAACTCCATATAAGGCCATGGCCCCACATGGGGTCATTTATCTAAGTATGGGAATTGTGAAAAAATTAGCAACAATGAAAGTTTTCTGAGTGGACAACAGGCAAACATTAAGTCAAAATCAAAAGCCCAATGAATGAATCTGAGGCGTGTCTGCAGGGCTCTCCTTTGTGCTATATGATTTCACCCCAGCATGTGCTATGGCGGCAAGCTCTACCGGTTTTCCTGCACATCCCAAGTTTTCAGCTCCAAAGAAACGTAATGATTATCTATGGAAGAACAAAGGCTTAATATTTTTCCACCACCATTCCTCAGCATGTGTCAAAATAGTGAATCTTTGCATTGTACTGTTTGGTTTTAAAAACTCCTGTTTGAATCGCTGACTGAAGTTGGATTGATACAGAATTTCCAGCACTTTCTGAAATGAGTCCAAACATATTCTCCTCATTTTGTACTTTGTACATATGCAAGGACCATTCTCAGCAATGATAGATTTTAAAAGGAAAGTACCGATCAGCCCTGAAAAAATATTAGGTCAAGATGTGTTTATTTAAAAACAAGCAAATTGCCAGGCATAGTAGCACACGCCTTTAATCCCAGCAGAGGCAGGCGGATCTCTGTGAGATAGAGACTAGCCTGGTCTACATAGTGAGTTCCAGTCACCTGGGGCTGCAGGGATATCCTGCCTCAAAAAGACAGAAATTAAAAAATTAAAAGGCAAATTTGCTAGAGTTACAGAAGGTAACTGATGTGGATGCTGGGAACTGAACCTGGGTCCTCTGCAAGAACAGGAAGTAGCTCCTCAGCCATCTCTCCAGCCCCTTATTGGGATTTAAAACAACAAAAACAAACTGTCCTCCTCTATCCCCTGTAGAATTACAGATTTTTAATAGTAAGGCTGTGGACATTGTCCCACCAGGGGTGCCATCTGGGATCAGACCATACCCTAGGCCCCTCTACATCACCATCCTGTGAATGGTGTCCTAGCAGCCCCTCCTTCCCTGCAGAGCAGCCAGAGAGTACCTGGGAGGTCCCAAGTCCATCCACTAGGGCTGTGCACCTGGGGTGAGGTACTGTGCACACCTCTCTGCCTTTTCTGGACCCTCTGGGGAGCCGGTTGTCTTCACAGCTGTTTATTTGGGTCCTTCTGGCCCTGATGGTCCCCATCAGGAAGTGGCCTCGGTGCTTTCAACTGCCGTCAGCTCGGCCAGGCCACCAGGCTCCCCAGGTAAGGAGCTTAGGAGATTACTTTGCTTACTTGGAATTTCTTAAAATGCATATGTCAATGCGCAAGCTCTGCTGTGGTGGTGTAATGGCCTTCATTGTATTGTTAGCTGGCAGTTAGACAGGTGTAGCTTTCCCTAGTCTCATCATAGTTCTGGACAGCCCTGGTGCAGCCAAGGCCTGCTGGGGCTGGACCCTGTGTGTCTCCTACCTGCCTGGGGCTGGACCCTGTTTGGCTGAGCTGGCTCTGCTTAGGGGAGCTGGGCCTCCTGGTTCTGATGCCTGGCTCTGCACACTGGGGGTGTGGGTCTCAGGTGCTGGGAAGCAGCAGTGTGCAGGGTACTTTTGCTGCAACCCAAGGGCTGGGGGATAAGGGATTGGTTACCAAACAGAGGAGTTGTAGGTGGTCCTGCTGCTGTGGCAGATAGATCACATCGCATCTTTTCTCTGGGCTTGTTCACCGTATTGCCTAATAGTCTTTTCTTAGCTGGATCAGACTGGCCACAAGTTGAACTGCTTCAAAGTGGTTGATGTCACCATGCCTTCTCTCAGCTTGTGACAAAGACACATTTTTAAAAGAAAATGAATCTGTCTGGCTGTCTAGGCTCCTGCCTCACACAGCCCTGACCCTATGAGAGGGTTGCGTAGTATCACAGGGCAGTTCTTGTATGGGATGCCCTTCCTCTTGCCAGGTTGGTGACATCAGCCAGGCCTCTGAGGGTTGTGCAATGTTGCAGGGCAGTTCTTATATAGGGTGCCCTTCCTCCCTCCAGGTTGGTGATGTCAGCCCGGTTGCCCTGGCTGTGGTCAGACAGGAGACAGGCCAGCGCAGCCAAGTGGCTGGTGTGGAGACCTGTGGTTTTATGTTTTGACTTTAGGTTTAAACATGATGAAGGGTGTGGGGGGAGGGCAGGAGAGCATGAGACTGGGGCAAGTCGCATATCTGTCGTGGAAAGCTTGAGCAGCCAGCTATGCTACACTCTCGTCACTCAACACTCAAGAGGCCAGCGCAGGAAGGTGAGGAGTTTGAGGCCAGCCTGGTCCACATGGTGAGACCTTGTCTCAGAAAAACACAACCAGCTAGGTATGGTGATGCATGCCCTTAATCCCAGCACTCTTCCAGGTCAGCCTGGTCTACATTGGGAGTTCCAGGCCATTTGGGGGCTACAGGGAAACCTTGTGTCAACAACAAAAAGCAAAAAAGTGAAACAACCCAAAGCAAGCAAGCAAGCAAACAAACCAAAAATGCAACTGCAGCAAGTTCCAATGGTGGTTTTAGTGTAGTTCTGCCCTTCCATTGTGTCCTCATTTTACCAGCCTCTAGAAAATGCCAATAAATACTATTTTGATTAATTTCTCATGAGTCGTTTGTTATCTTAAATGCAATCACAATCTCCTTGTGGCATCTGCACATAGCTGTGGAGGGACACTGTGCCTGGGTGTTGTGTGGATCCCCTTTGTCCTTGGGAGTGTCAGTTGATCCCTCTGAGCTCTGTTAGCTGGCCTAGCCTGTGGGTAGAAGGCCTGCCCAGACCTTCCCTTCCCTCAGAGTCTGGTCTGTGGTGGGTAGACTGAGTCCTGCTGGGCTCAGACTCATGTTCAGGCTTAGACCTGTCTCTGATTTTTATTGAAATCACCTTCAGTCCTGAGCAGCTGTTCAGTTGAGATGTGCACCAGTCAAGAACTTAGTGAATCTACTCTTTTTTCTTCCTCCCATGTAGGCATGCTCCTTAGAAATGTTCAAAGTATTTCTGGAGGAGAGAGGGGAAGCTTAACTCAAGAAGAAAGGAGAGCCTCAGAGCGAGAGGCAGGCCATCCAGGTGATCGGATTAAACCAGTGTATTTTACAAATGAAGAAATGGAAGTTAGAGCCAGGTCAGAGGCTGAGGCAGGAGAATCACTTGAGCCCAGGAGTTTGAGGCCAGCCAGGTCAACAGAGTGAGACTGTCTCAACCAATAGCAGACAAGCAAGCAGTGCTGCTTTGGAAGTTAGGTTCTTCATGAGCAGCTTGAGTCTGGGCAGAGTTGAGGTGTTGTGAAAGTGAAGTCTTAGAATGCCTCACATATGGTAATAGGATTCCAGGCGAGGCTGCATTCTGGTCTCCTCCCTGTTCTGCACTCCCTTTCTGATCTGACTTCAGTGTGAGAGCTCACCAGCATCATCAGATATATCAGATATGGGTATATCAGAAGACTAAGTGGATGTCTGGTTCCTCACCAGCCCTGTATGAGCCAGGGAGGTACTCTGCCACTGAGTTATGGCCCCCAGCTCTTTTCTTTATTACTTTTTAAAGCTGAAATAAGTATACACTGATACTCATGAAATCCTGGGCCAAAAATCTTTGCTTCCCTTTAATTGGGGGGATATTTAAGGAGTACCTTCTGATCTGTGTACTGAGCTGCCGCCACGTCTAGAAGCATAACTTTTGCACACATCTGGCATTTTTCTTAACATAACTAGATAAATGAACCTTCATTAAGAAGCCAAACATGGGTCCAGCAAAGGTTTATTATATGTGTGAGTGTTGTGCCTGCCTGTATGTATGGCACCACATGCATGCAATACCTGCAGAGGCCAGAGGGGTCCTCGGATCACCTGGAACTGGAGTTACAAATGGTTGTTCACCACCATGTGGGTGCTGGGAACCCAACCTGAGTCTTCTGCAAGAGCAGCCAGTGCTCTTAACCACTGAGCCATCTCTCCAGCCCTGTGAAACACACTTTGAGAGCTGCAGCTGCATATTATGCATACAAGTACCATATGGTGAAACTTTGTCAGTAATATGTGTAATTTTAACAATTTTTAATGTACTATAGAATAAAATGTTTATTTCTCTTTGAATTGTTTTTATTTCTTTAACTTGGCTGGCTAATGTGAACTATTAGCCCAAACATTTTCCTCATTGTTTTTTCTAAAAAAACAATGCCAAAAAATATAAAAAAAGCATCAAAGTCAGTTTGTCATGGTAGTTTCATGTGTCTCTTAAAGGCGTAGGGTTGGATACCTGCGAATCCAAAGACCGTCTGTGTTTTCGCTTTGCTTTGGGGATTGCTCAACATTGTTTTCCTCTCTTGGCTGTTTAATAGCAACATTTCCACTTAAACTCTACCCTAAAGAGTGAGTGCTGGCAAACCTCGCTGATGTCAGATGTCCCCTGCTTGGCAGTGGCTGTGTGCCCAGACTGTGTTCTGAGGATGGCAGGCTGCCCACTGTGTTGCCAGAACTTTCCACAGGGAGTAGTTTTGCAAGGGGCTTGGCGGGGAGCTGGGGAACTTGGGGACCGTGATGGGGGAGCTTCTCCTGCCTGGTAACAATATCCTCATCTCTCTCTTGGCATAGGTGAAGCTGCCCTCAGGGGAGAACCCAGAATGCAGACCCTCCCTGTGGCCTCTGCCCTCAGCAGTCACCGCACTGGCCCACCACCCATCAGCCCCAGCAAGAGGAAGTTCAGTGTGGAGCCTGGGGATGAGGACCTGGACTGTGAGAACGACCATGTCTCCAAGATGAGCCGCATCTTCAGCCCCCACCTGTAAGTCCCCCACTTTGGGCTCATGTATGCTCCAGGCGGGGCCTTGCTGTGTTTGCAATCTTGTGCCCATCATGAAGGTATGATTTCCTAAGTTTCTGATAAAAGACATTATTTATGAAAAGGTAGGTAGTGTTCCTGTTCCAAGAAGGTATTACATTGATTCTAGTGACTGGTGGAGGGATGACATCTTATTTCCTTCCAACTTGCACAGTTTCCCGCGTTTCCCCCGTGCAGGCAAGCAGCCCTTAGGACTGCCTAGTGGGCACTGTCTAGAAACCTTTTGCTTGCCATTGTGCACTTGCTGGCTGTTAGGAAGACCGATGCTGGGCGTCTTTCTGTCTGTGCGACAGCAAGATGAGTACTTGAAGTCTCTGTGGAGTGGAGGTTGTTGCTCCAGAGTGCAGGACTGTGTGTACACTGGAAAGCATTACTGTCCTGTGTGGCTGGTCACACCTGGTGGTAGCCTGGAGCTGTAGTGAGAGAGCCCCTCTTAGTGCCAGTAGAGCTGAGTGCTGGTCCTCAGTTGACCTCAGCATGCCCTAGTGTCTTGACACCAGTTGCTTTCCCATCTGGACCTCAGGGCCCTCATTTTCCACACAAGGGGCTGAAGCTGGAGTTCTCTGAATCTGGGTGATGTGGCCATGCTTCTGTCTCAATGCCAGCTTTCCTTTGTGTGCCATGTTCTCTCTGGCTGGCCCCGGCTAAGGTGATGATGCCTCCCTGTTTTTTCTCCAGGACTTAGTAAGCTCTGGTGGACTAACCTGTGGCCACGTTGTCATAGAGGCTGAAGTCCTATCCCCAGGTCTGAAGGAGCAGTTTGCAATCTCAGCAGCTGCAGCTCGAGCAGCAGGTGCATGGCAGGCTCCCTCCTGCAGGCAGCGCTCTGCAGCTGGAGGCGGCTCTGGCCTCTGCTGCCTCAGCCTCGCATTCCATGCATGCCAATCTGCCTGGTCTGTTATGTTCAGTCATAAGACACTGACAGAGGTATTTATCCTCAAATAAATCACTGTAGTGTTAGTCAGAGGCTGGGCCTGCAGTCTGGAGCCTGGAATTCGCTACACTCAGGAATCCAGCAGCGGAGGCCCTGCAAAACACTGCTGGCAAGGGAGGGAGGGAGGGGCTGGGTGCAGAGCACATTGCTGAGATGTCTGGAGTTCATTCTTTGATTACTAGACTCTCTCATTCTCTCTCATACCCCTTTCCCAAACCCAGTAGGAGACATTTCATGCTCTTTGCTTTATTTTTCAAAAGAAGAAAGGGCAAGAGGAGAGGCCGTGTCTTAGTTGAAGTCTTTGCTCTGCCACTTACCAGCTGTGCAGCTGTGGACATGTCACCTGGTTCCTCTGGGTCCACTCTCCTTATTGTAAGACCAGTTATCACTGGTCTGTTAACAGGTTGAGCTGTTGTGAGCATCAGTGTCAAAATATGTAAAGACTCACTTGGTGGTAGTCATGGCTTATATTATTAATAACCCCATTTCTCAGATGTTGGTCCTGACAGCGGCAGAGAATAAGAATGTATGGTGTTGACCTTATTGTTTGGGAGCATGTGCATCTTAGTCTGAGGGCCCCGGGTTCAGACACCACCACCTTCACCTTTCCATGGGCCAGTAACTCATTTCCCACTAGATTATTAGAAGTACTTAGTACAGTACCTGGCAGATTTTAAGTCTTCAGCTTTGTTTTGTTTGTTTGACACTGGCTCTCTGTGGTCCAGGCTAGCTTTGACAAAACTCCTGATTCCTGCCTCTGCTTCCCAAGTATTGGGATGGCAGACATGTCCCACCATACCCAGTCATTATTGATACTGTTATTAGAGTGTTAAAATGCCTGGAAAATAATTTTGTAGCTTCTTGGCTAATTGAAAATAAGACCTTGAAATACAGGTCTATGATGATAGAGCATTCCCCTGGCATGCACAAGGCCCCAGGTTCAATCCCTAGCACTGACAAATGAAAGAAGAATTGCCAGATTTTAGGTAAACTCTTAGTTAACATCATTATGAAGTTTTAGGAAAATAGAAACAGCACGTCTATTCTGCCAGGCTCCCTGGGCTCCCTCCCATCAGCTAGGTGGCTTTTTCCCTATTTTTTTTTTCCCCTGTGGCAAAATACACACATTATAAATTGTGTGTGTGTGTTCATGTGTGTGCATGCATGGACATGTGTGTGCAGTTGCACATATGTTCAGTGCATATGGAGGCCAGAGATTGACATTGAGTGTGTCAGTCCTGCTCAAGCATGTTGTAGGTGCTTGGTAAGAGCTGTTGTCTGATTTGATGAGACTTGCCTTCTGTGGACTCTAGAAGCCTCTTTATTTCAAGTCTAAAAGTTTGAATAGTAGTTCCTAATAATAGTTCCTACCTATTTGTCAGGAATGGCCTTAGTGTGTTTATATCTCAAAGGAGACTGCAAAATGATTGTGTGTGTGTGTGTGCGCGCTCTGTCTTTCTAGAATTTGCTTATGCTATGTAAGGAAAGTGTGTTTATCATTAAGGGAATTGCACAGTGAAAGAGGAAGGAAGGGCTGAATGACCAACCCTCCTTCCTGCTTGCTGTGGCTCTGCAGTCCCCGTATGCAGAGTGCCCGTTGGTGCTCCCATGGTCAGTGCTTGGGTTTATTTCAGAACAGTTCTGGTAAGCCCCTGAGCACATTTCCAGCTGTGGAGTCCTGTTACCTTCACGCTCTCTCTTTTTCTCCTCCTTTCTCCTTTTCTTCCCCTGGGGAGCTTTGGGAGTTTACTTTTCTCTCCATAAGGGTGAATGGAGAAAGAGGGATGAACAGGCAAATCCCAGACCTGTAAATCTTTCAATTTGTGGAAAGGTTATAGAGAAAATCTTTGAAACCAAGAACTGGGTATCAGGTGGGGAAAGATGGCTATGGTGGGGTTTATGGGTTTGCTGTAGAGCCTCATGGGGTTTATGGGTTTGCTGATAGAGCCTCTTGTCCTGCAGTGCCTGAAGTCCTGCATGTCCTGCACAGACTTGCAGTGAGCCATGTTGTGTCGTCCCCCCCCCAACCCCCGCTGGGACCTCTGCTTCTGGTCTCCTGAGTCCCCCTCTGGATGTACACACACGTGTGCTACCAAGAGGCCAATCATTTCCCAAACTTCAAACTTTCCCAAGAAAACAATCCCACCTTCCAAACTCAGAGGAGATTGAGAGGTTGACGTTGTGTTGCTTCTGGACCCTGCTAGCAATCAGGACCGAGTAAGGTATACAATGGTGTAAAGGTACACAATGGTGTTTCCACAGAGGGTTGGTGTGACTGAGCTTGGGGAAGCTGCAGAGGTTGAGGGCTTGCTTGTGACAACAGCCACTGAGTGCTCACTGTGTGCCAGCATCGTGCCTGGTCATGAACTTGACCTCGTGGTATCCTCTTGTGAGTGTCCCATCATCCCCTTTACAGAGGGCAACCTGAGGTTCGCTGTCTGGAGGGCCTGTGCTGACTGGTGGTGGCAGAGGTTTCCCACCCCCTGCTCCCAGCTGCAGCCTCACAGTTACAGATGGCATACATGTCTGAGTTTGACATTAAGACCTTAATGTTGGGGCTGGAGAGATGGCTCAACAATAAAGCACTCTGGCTGCTCTTGCAGAGGACTGGGGTTTGGTTCCCAACACCCACATGGCAGCTAATAACCATCCTTCACTTCAGTTCCAGGGGATCTGATGCCCTCTTCTGGTCTCTCTGGGCATTGCACACTTGAGGACACTGATATACATGTAGGCAAAACATTCATGCATGTAAAAAAATTTTTTTAATTTAAAAAAGATCTTAATGTTTAACATTTTAGATTGTAATTTAAACACAACTAAAACATAATTGCTGATACATTGAGGTTGAAGAGTGACAACTGTTCATTTAGTGTTTTGAAGGAGTGGGAGGGCTGTGAGGTCCTAAAGGGCAGGCAGAAATGAAGAGTGCTTCCATGTGTCCAGGGTAGTTCTGCAGGGACTGTGGAGAGAGAGCTGCTGTCTGTCTGGCTGCTGCCTTCAAAGACCTGAAATTGCATCTTTGTACAAGAGAGAGCCTTAAAGTGAAAAACGGGCTCTCTCGCCCTCCTTCCCTCCCTCCTTTCCTTCCTTGTGTGTAGTGTAGGCATTTGTGTGTGCGGTGCATGTATTTGTGTTTTTTATTGTTGTTGTTTTGTTGTTTTTAAAAAATTGTTATTATTTTTACTTTTATTTTTTTAAATATTTTATTATTTTTATTTTATGTGTATGAGTGTATTGTCTGCATGTATGTGAGTGCACCCATGTCATGCAATGCCTGCGGAGGACAGAAAAAGGCTGTTGGATCCCCTGGAGTTACGGACAGTTGTTGGCTGCCATGTGGGTGCTGGGATTCGAACCTGGGTCTTCTGCTGAGTCATCTCTCCAGCCCCCTTATTATTTTTACTTTATGTATATGAGTGTATTGCCCACATGTATGTGAGTGCACCCGTGTCATGCAGTGCCATGGAGGTCAGAAGAGGGCTTTGGATTCCCCTGGAACTGGAGTTAAGGACAGTTCGTAGCCGCCATGTGGGTGCTGGGAATCAAACCCGGGTGCTCTGCAAGAGCAGTCAGTGCTCTTAACTGCTGAGCTATCTCTCCGGCCCCGTGTGTATTTGTTTTTGAGGCAGGGTCTTTACTGAAGCTGGAGCTCACCAATTGGCTAGACTGGCTGGCCAGCAAGCTCCAGGGATCCTCCTGTCTGTCTCCCCAGTGCTGGCATCACAGGCACAGATGGCCAACCCTGGCTTTTCTTTTTGCATTGGTGCTGGGGTCCCTGCTTGGATTCCCATTCTTCAGCAGCAAGAGCTTTACCTGCTGAGCCTTCTCCCCAGTCCTGTTTTTCTTTCTTTCTTAAAAAAAACCAAAAACAAAACTCCTTATTTCTGTGGTGCTGGGACTGGAAGCCAGAGCCTTGTGCCTGCCAAGCAAGTGATCTAGCAAGGCTTTTCTGTAGCCTAGGAAAGCATTTTAAAAATTTATGTGTCTGTGGGCTGGAGAGATGGCT